AAAAGGCACCCACTACCGGGCTGTCGGCGATAAATTTCAGAGGCTCTGTCGAGAACGTTGAATCAAATGGAAATATGAGACACTGGACAGGTCTAATAGTTTCGGACACGTTGTTTTAATGCAAGGTGGCGTAGGCTTTTGTTAGGTCGACACGGGAAAGAAATGCTGTGAATGCTAAAAAGATAGATTGTCTATAAGGAATATTAATAGTAAAATATATATTTATACATTTCATCGCTTTATATCTAAATGTATACGAATTTTTTAAGGAATTTTGCGATTATTTTTATAATTTTGCATTACACGCAAAATTTTTGCTCGAACTTAATTTGCATATGATTTAAATTTTCAATATATATATATTTTTTTTGCGTAAAATTTATTTTTAAAAATTTCCAATGTATTTTCAAAAAGTTTCTTTATAATTAATTTCTCGCACAATGCAAAATTATTTATCGCAATTTTACGTGAAATTGCAAAGTATTGCTAGTCTAAGAATACAATAATTTTTATATTAATAAAACAATAAGTTAGTGTAAAACGAATGACTAAAGATCTCGAAGATCCTTGAGGTAATCGACATTTTGTCCTCGACGAAATTCCTAACTGGATTTTGCATCCTTGTATTATCGCAATATGCACGCACGCGCGTCAGAAATTTACTGTCCTTTGGAAACGAGGGTCTCGCATAGCAAAAAAGGCGCCGAGGCACCGTTAATTTAACGGTTTAAAAGGCCATCGGGAATAATTTGTATACTGCGAGGCGACGCCTGCAGGGTGGTTATCCAAAATATGCAATTTCCGAAAATATCTCCCTACACGGAACGCGGAAATTACAGGGTGGGAAAAGAAGTCCTTAGAACGGTCCCGAGGGCTCCTCTGACGGTCGTTGCGGACGTTTCCGAAAGTCGCCTTCGTGACGCCATCGTAAATGGCAGCTGTCTGCTCAAGAAATCCCCCCGCGTCCTGGACGGATAATCTCTTTTCCTACGAGCATTTTCGTAGCCTGTCAGGGAATCTGATTCCGCCCAATCAAAATATAATCACGTGGCATTAACGAGTAATCGCCGGTTCGGGGACTAATTTGAAATTATAGTCATCGCGCGACGTTCTCGTGCCATTTTTCGGATTTCTTCCTTGAGGGTCGCCGTTTCTCGCAGATAATTGTCCAACAAACTAGAAGTTAATGAAGCAATACTAAATAAAATTCGAACTATTTACGAAGATTAGTGGATAAAGTTAATTTTGGTTAGACCCATTCCAGCTGTATTTATCCTTCGATCGAATAAAACAAAATGCCATTAGCAACTCCTCTGCTCTACCGCTTCCACGAATGAATTCCGAGTGAATCGTGGCTCGGGATAAGATTAAAATAACATTTGAAGTTTAGACAGATATTACATCATTGTTCCGTTATTATTTCTTAATCGATCTTTCCATTACAATTCACTGTAACGTAGTTATCGAGGCGCCAAAATGTCATTTTGACACTTATCAGTGGATACACGGTTCTGTCTTATTTTTGAAATTCAAATAAATGAAATCTAGCTGTCACATTAATATCCTTCGAATCTTGAAAATATTAATCACGTGAAATCTACGCTTTTGCATAATTTCTTACAACTTTAATGTTTTTTTCGTAATCAAGTATAATTTTTCTGCGAAAATGTTTATTATGAAAACTTTTTCCCTCTTAATAATCTTTATAGTTTTGCATAAAGTAGTCTAAATCGTCTAAAATGTAATTAAATTATTTTTAATAAATACAGATTAAATTAAGTGACTGGAAAAAATAGGAGAAAGCTATCTTGTGCGGAAACGTTTGTTCAAAGAACGATTTATGATTATGAAATCTGGTATTACTGAAAATGGAAGATTTTCCAAGTTTGCACCTTGCAATAATTACAGTGCAAGAAAGGAAAAGGTACCTGAACTGACAGAGAAAAGATCCTAACTCCATGAAGGAGGTCTTTCTGGTCTATAATCTCGTGCAATTACGCAGTTTGTGCACCTCCCATTCGATAGTCTCCTCAAATAGTCACGGTGTCCCAAACGACGTATAAGCGTTTTATGGTGTTTCAAAAAACCTCAACCACATTATCCGAGATCTTTGAATTAGCGGCACGATTATATGCCGACTGTAACACAAGAAATACATTGTGTGGGCGCAGTGAGTTAATTGATACTTTTTCCTTAAGTATAATAATTAAAGCTATGAATCAACGCTCAAACATATATCGTGGCGACTGGTTTGACATTTTTATTATATTGTCTAATAGATTTACCGCGTGGCTAGACTGTGACTAACCTCTATTGTACGATGGAAGACTGCCGGTGCGTGTAGAGTATAATCGCTACTACAAAACAAATATAAATAATAAATAAATTGATAAAATTGATAAATATTTAAAATAAATTATATATTACAATCTTTATTAAAATTAGAAAAATTTTTAGTCTAATTAAAAAAAGTAATTTTTCTATAACTGGGCCGTAATTAATAAAATACGTAATATATATTACATACACAAGGTACGTTGCAATTCCATCGTCAGAACAATAAATTGTACGTTTTATGCGATTCGGAATATTATTCGCGCGGCAGTATCATACACATGAGGCAATAAACTGGTCCAGATAAGCAAAAGCTCGTGGTTTTATCGGGGCAGAGGCGGAGGCGATTGCTGATGACCGAGTCATCGATTGAAAACAAGCGCGATGCGTGCCACACATGTTTTTTTGCGAATTCTTAGAACACTTATTTATAATGTAAACTTTTATATAATATTATGAAAATGAGCATAGATCGATGCCTCATCAGTGACGCTAACAGGTATTCTTTCGTGAGCGCCTTGTCTCTACCTAAAACCTAAAATTATCGTTAACTTTATGATTGTTTCGTGAAAATCTAGATTTATTCTACAAGGGAAAGGCTGCTATTAGTAATTTTGATAATTACATTTTTTTATAGGAAACTTCGATATTAGTTAAACAAACAAGTTTCTATATAGTTATAAATCAGAAAACAATTGATGAGAGATTATGTAACGATTATTCGTTTATCTATGCATATGTCTAAACAAGGAATTAAAATTTTTTTAAATATAATTTTTGAATAAAGTTTAAAAAATTTAATTACTAATTAATAATTGAAATAATAAGTATATATAAATATATAATAAAAAATTTCTAAGAATGGTAAATATTAACTCTATTGTAAATATTTTACTAAATATTTAAAGTCTTTTTAAATATCTTACGTGCGCTACATTATATAATATTTTATATGCAATTTTGTGAGAATAACAAATTACAAATAAATAATTAATTACTTAAATATTCCTCCGTTGGCGCCCATACTTCTCCTAAGTCTTCTTCTCCTCTCAGTTCTTGCAGTTTTTTAAGCATTCATACGCGTTTGCGATACAACAATACGAAAATCGCTGTACAATCGCGATACATACGTGCCGTACTTTGTCGTATTATTACATTATATAATGTAATAATTACGTTATATAATGTATATA